TGTCTATACTAATTATCTATATAATTTTATCCTTCTATAGTGTATCACATCTCAATCTATTATATTATCAATCACAGTAGTCGTAACAATCAATAGTACTAACCAATAATGTTAAATAGTGACATTGATAAAAAAATAGAAATAATGTCAGTCATAATATCATTATAGTGTTCATAGAAGTGACAATATCAGTATTCAGATATTTAATGAGTAGATCTTAACAGTATTATGCTCATGCACTTATGAATCCAAATCACTCTCCCTATATAATGCCCAATTAATATACTCCTTATAACACCCCTTTAATTACGTGAATTAGTCACCCAGACTCCTTATAACTTTCAATCAATCTGCAACTCCTTAAGACTCCCAATCTATGAATCATGTTAATCAATAGGTATCAAGTTGAGCTATTATATCATGTATTTAATATTATTCATTACTTTATTTAAAATATAATAAAATTATTTCAAATCATTTAGAAGGATCAAATATATAATATATTAAAACATGTACGGTGAAATATTATGAATTAGGAGATAATGCATTTTTTATAAAATAAAAATCATTAAAAAAAGTAAGAGTTTAGTAAGTTACAATGAATAGAACAAAATCTATAATAAGAATGATTAACAAATATGATCCAAAGGCTTTTCTCTCTCCTCACTTCTTCCCTCTTTTAATTTCTACCAAGACAAACAAATAAGTGAGGGAGTCAGTGGCCTAGAGTCGTATTGCTTACTATATCAGTGCTGAAGCACTCTACCTCAGAATTTTCAAAATTTTTAAGAAAATTTATTTCATATATCTAACTTGTTCTAATCTCCCCACCTTCAAACATTGTCATCCTCAATATTTCTATATCAGTTAGAGAGAGAGAGAGAGAGTATACTCCAAATAAAATTTTAAACTCAAATAAACTAATTATAAATAAAAATTTACTTCTTTATTCTACTCATAAGCTTTAGTTAAATTTCAATTCTTCTAATAACCATTGCTTTGATACCATTTTGTCACACTAGATGATCTATATTAGAAGAATTACATGTGCTATCATTTTAAATATTTAACTAGAGCTTATCAATAAATAGTAAAAAAATATAATTACAATTTTGTCTTGTTTGGAACACCATATCATATCATACTTACCAAATATATAAAACCACGTAATAAGTATATAGCCCAATAACTAAAATCTTACAAATAAAATAACTGCAAGATAAAAGAGAAAAATATACTAACTATAAATCATATAAAGAAATTTATGTATTGATATTTATACTAATTATCATTATCAATTTATCCTTCTACATTTCATCACATCTTAATCCATTACATTATTAGGCACAATAGAAATAAAAGTCAATAGTACTAACCAATAATATTAAATGGTGATAATGACAGAAAATAGTATTAGTTTTAGTCACTATATAAGTACAATTTTCATTGTAGTGTTAGTATCAATATTCAGATATTCAATAAGTATATCATAAGTTAATCTTTATCCTACATTTATGACTCCAAATAAATATCCTTTTATAACTCCCAATTAATGTAATCCTCATAACTACCGTTGAATCACGTGAATCATTCGCCCCAGTTTCTTATAACTCCCAATCAACCTCCAACTCCTTGTGACTCCCAATCAGTAAATCAAGTAGATCAGTAGGGTATCATGTGGATTTATCATATCATGTATCTAATATTATTCATTACTTCATTTAAAATACAATAAGCTCACATCAAATCATTTAGAATGTTTAAATCCATAATATATTTAAACTTGCATGGTGAAAAGTTATGGAATCTAGAGATAATGCATTTTTGATAAATTTAAGAGAGATAAAATTTTTAGAAATCAAAATAATTAAAAATAAAATTATGAGCTTAGTCACTTATAATGAATAGAAAAAAATATGTAATAGGAATGACTAACAAATATGACCTAAAAGCTTTCTCGCTCCTCTCTCCTCTTCCTCTCTTTAAATTTCTTCCGGTCCAAACAATCAAGTGAGGGAGTCAACCGGGTTTCATATTTTTCATGAAAAGTTATTTCAAATATTTGAGTTATTACAATTTTTCCTTTTCAACTATTATATAAGTAAATTCCATTCTAAGCACATCTTAAAATTTTCTGTCAAAATTAATTCCATGTGTTTTCATTGTAAATTAATTCCATGTGTATGTGTTGTCAAAGTTAATTCCATTTTAAGCACATCTTAAAATTTTCTGTCAAAATTATATAAGTAAATTCCATTTCTAGCAAAATTTTGGTCGCGCGGGGCGGGATACTAGCATGGCAGGCCAGCTGGGTTTATAATTTTATTTTTGTTTTTTTTTGTTTTCCCACAGAGTTTATATCCGCTGGAAATATGTCCGATGAATTTTTCACCAGAATTTTGCTAGAAATTTTTTTGGCAAAATATTTTGCAACAATAACATTTTTTCAACGTGTGATTTACCATCAAATAATTTTTCCACCATAAATTTGATGAAAATGAATATTTCCAATAGATTTTATGCATTTTTTTGGTGGATTTTGCCTACCGGTAACATGCTACTTTCCTGTAGTGCAATATACCTAGATAGTAGCAAAGCAGACTTGGATTACCTTGCTAATAATGATAATTAGGTCAAAGTTTGTATATAGCTTACCCCGCTTTAGTTTTGTCATACCATAAAATGGATATACTCTCACACCTATGTTTTGCTCTTGATCAGACCAAACATAATTAAAGAGAAACAATTTATTTCTGTCACTCAAAAATTTGAACTATAAAACTTCCTGTAAGACCCCATAATACTCTAAGTCATCACTTTATGACTATCCCTTCTTATACAAACATTATATTTCTTGATATTCTGACCTTCACACCAAGATTTGGTTTATAATTTGTAACCATTGAACACAAAAATTTTCCATTTTTTCACTACTCTCATTGGTCCCCAAACTTGATCCAATAGTCTTTGGTCTTACACATCGATGGCTTTAGTTATGACCTGATTGGTTTAGTAAATATAGATATGTTATTATCAATTTTACTATGCTAATTTATTCTAAGAATTAAGTTGAAATGGCAAGTTGAAGAATATCCTATATTGTTGAACCAATTTAGGAATTCAATTTCAACAATCTTCTAAACTTCTACTAGTAATGATGTAGTCAAACCAATAATGAAAATCTTACAAATTTTGAGTTGTTATAGTTTATAAGTTATTAAATTTATGGAATATTATTAAGTGTAAATTGAGTATTATTTATTATAATTAAAAGCAGTGAAAATGTACTATTTTATTTGTGTTTTGTACCAAAAAATGTTTGAAAAATGATAAACATTACCAATGTTGATCAGCACCAAAATGCCAATTCATATTACACTGCAGTGAATACAACATTCACATCAAGGGATCTTTTTCAGATGCTGCACCATCTTCTTTATATGCAAGCATTGCAATGATAACATAGTCAACATCACTGCACTCAAAATTTGCTCCACAATAATGGAGCCTCAAGAAAATTCATGCTGAGTGCCATACCATTCAATGCTTCAGAATGGGATTCCTAATTCCAGTGTTACAGTGCTAAATGTTTTTAGCACTATGATGGAGTAGTCGTAAAAAATGAAGAGTTATGCTGACTGAGCAAAAAGACATTGTTTCAATCCGTAATAGTGCCATATTATCCAACACTGTAGTGGAACCAACATTACAACACAATGGAACTAGTCAATTTTACACCGCATCAATGCAACCTTGTCAATCATTGTGGTGCCTAAACTGGTTTGATGTATAAACTCAATGAAGGAATATTAGAATAATTAGGAATATTGAAATGGAATGTTGACATGCTTAGATATAAGATGTTTGAATATTCTAGATTCTATAGAGATAACAAAACTATAGGAAGGCCATAAACCTTTTTTATCTCACCTCTAAAAGCTCGACAAAGATCTAGTGGTGCATATGCTTTGATCCACTTCTATAATTAAGAGTCTATTTGAAAAACTATGTTTTTCATCTTCATTAGTCCAGAATACTTTAATTTCATTATTATAAAAATCCTTTTCTAAGTTTTTATTTTCTTTTAGTGACAAAAACTCTAAATATCATTTTCATTTTTAGTAGGATAAGAAGTGCATTTGAAGAAAGCAATACTAGTTATGTTGTAATTAAGCAAAACACTTCCTTGTGGGTTGAACACTCTAATCCTTTACTTTTTTATTTGACTTGAAATGTATACTTAAGTAATATAGTGGGCTTTTTCTAATTTTATATTAAAAAATCTAAGCATATTTCAAACTTAATAAATCATATATTAGCTCTCTGAAAAGCCCCATCAAGTTTTTGGCATCTTTGTTAGGAAGTAACGTATGTATTGCAAGTTTGGCTATATTATTAAAAAAAAAACATGTTTAGACCTACTTGTATCATATATTTTTTGTTTGGTAAAAATTTCGAAGAAAATTTAAAATGTATTTATTGATTATTTATCTTATATTTTTATTTTAATTATTTCATCAATGTTGATTTAGTAAGGAGCCCATATTTTTAACCTTTAACCCTGAAATAGAAAGAACCCTTATATGAAATTTTTAAATTCAAAAATATTTTAAAGATATCTAACCAAGGAAAAGATCAAGACCATTATAAACCTCTGAAGGAGTATGTTGTACATGTAGTTGAAGGAATCCATTAGATTATCAATAGACCTGCTATCCAGGTAAATAACTTTGAACTAAAACCTATTATAATTCATGTTATTCAAAATTTATAGCTTATATAAATATCCCAATTTACCCTTAACTAGTTTCCTAGAAATCTATGCAACATTTAAGTATAATAGTGTTAATGGTGATGGTATTAGACTTAGATTATTCTCATTTTGTCTAAGAGATAAGATTAAGATGTGGTTGAACTTTTTGCCCATAGGCTCTATAACCACTTGTAATGAGTTGGAACCTAAATTCCTAGCTAAGTATTTTTAACCTTAAAAAATTTCCAAATTTAAAAATAATATCACATCTTTTATCTAGTTTGAGGGAGAATCAATTTATGAAAGTTGGGAGAGATTTAAGAGAATGCTTAAGAAATGCCCTCACCATGCCTTACCAATTGGTTGGTTATTTAGACCTTTTATAGTGGATTAGTATGATCCTTTAGATCAATTATAGATATTGCAAGTGGAGGATCTTCAATGTCGAACTCATTTGAGGAAGCATATGAGCTAACATAAAAATGGCTATAATTAATTATTAGTGGTAAGAAAATAAAGTGAATCCTATAAGAGTAGCTATAGTTTATGAATCATATGCATTGTTAATTCTTACTGCTCAAGTTGATGCAATTTCGAAGAAGTTGCATACTATAAGAATTAGAGTTAGACCACAAAGGTATAATAATTACCCTAGCTTTGCTGGTGCTCCTAGACGTATAAGTTCCATAACAGTGAACATTACTGCAGCACAACATCTCCTTTAGCTTCTAACCAAAATAATCATGTTCAGAATGGGAAAATACCATTCGAAGTTGTTATTAAGCAATTGGGAATTTAACTACAGGATCAATGTACAACCCTTAACAAAATAGAAGATCTTATAGGATATCTTGCTAGGTTGATAAATAATCTGAAATTAGAAGAAAATATAAAAATATACAACTTAGGAGTGGGAGAGATTTAGGAGAGCCATATAAGGAAAGAGCTCCACCTTAAAAGATAGTGGTGCGGAAGAACTTTTAGGGATTAAACTCGCTATTGAACAAATTAAACCTCTTAAAGAAATATAGAGACAAATTAGTAACGTTGTAGAGAGACCACCACTACCCTTTTCTTATAGTTTGATCAAACAAAATCTTGATAAACAATTCTCTAGGTTGTTAGAAGTGTTCAAGAAATTAACTATTAACATACCTATCTTTGAAGCCTTAGAGTAGATGCACAAATATGCTAAGTTCAAGAAAGATATTTTGAACAATAAAAGGAAGTTAGTTGACTTTGAGATTATAGCATTAACCAAAAAGTGTAATGCTATAATTTTAAAAAAAATCCTAAAAAACTGAAATATCCTAGTAAATTCACCATTCCTTTAATAATCTAAGATAAGTTCTGTTGTACAGCTTTGTGTGATACAGATCAAGCATAATTATTATGCCAATTTCTATCTTCAACAAAGTAGATAAAAGAGAGGATCAAGCCACTCATGTCACTCTTTAGCTAGCTAATAGATCTTTCACTTATCCTAAAGGGGTGATAAAAGATGTGTTGATTAAGGTTGATATGTTTATTTTCAAAATATCTTAACCCATTAAGAGATTTAATTAAATTCCATGTCTCCTTATCCATTCATTTTCATGAAACCAGTGAAGTGGAAAAAGAATTTAGAGAGAAATATGAGGAGAGAGAAGAGAGAACATAAGTTTTGGAACATAGGTTATAATTTAATTACAACCAAAGCTAAAGGAATTAAATTATGAGTGGGGTAGTTGGGTAGTATAGATTTTAATTTATATATTAGTTTTATTTCTTTGCATATGTGTGTAAGTTGAATTTGTGAATTAATAGATTAGGAAAGAGAATTTTATCAGTGGATAGATAGACCTTGCCAGATAATATATATAGAATAAATAGGGTGCAGTAACAGCTCTGATAAATTCTAACTATTTGATGCAACTAACCAGTAAGTTTACACTGGTTATGTCTAATACTCAGAGTAGATAGGTGGGATAGAAAAAGGTAGAAGAGGATAGGCAACTATGGATGTTCCATAAGTTGATTCCCTCATTGTTCAAGGGAGCTAAAAAGCCATAGGTAGTAAAGGAATGGTTGTGGAGGATATAAAAGATATTTGATAGTATGCAAACACCAGAGAATCAAAAAGTACCACTTAAAGTGTTCCTTTTTGAAGAAAAAGTTGAGATATGATGCATATGATAATAGTTAGCATTTTCAAGGAAAGATGAATGTAGAGATCACCTGGATAGAGTTTATTACAATCTTTAGAGATTGGTTTGCACCTACGTCAGCTCGACAATAGATGCATGAGGATTTTATAAGATTAGAGCATGGGAATAGGACTTTGATATAGTATGAGATAGAGTTTACTTCATTGTTTAGGTTGGCAGCTCAACTAGCAGCACTAATGATGAAAAATGTTATAAGTTTCATAGAGGATTGAAGGATAAATTTAGGAATCCACTTATACTACTAAGGATTCAAGAGTTTTTAGATATGTTTGAGAGAGTGAGACTGGTGGAGAATGACTTGGTTATTTTATAAGCTAGATGAGATAGAGAGATGACATTACTAGGAGATAGAGCAGTGAAAAGAGGGATAGATTTTTAGACATAGTGACAGGATCTATATTGAAGTATAGTATTGGTAGTGTATAGGAAGGTTTTAGATGTGGGAGGATATAAACAAAATAGTTTTAACTCATTAAAAGACATTACTTTAGATGTGGTCAGCATGGACATAGGTTGCTAAATTGCCCGCAAAGAAGATTGTGGGAAAGATTTGCATCTAGGAAAAATCAATCTATAATTGCATATAATAGGAGGGTTGTTTGATTTCGAATTTCTAATCAAGGTTCTATGAGTAGGACAGATTAAAAATAGATGTTGAAAATGAAAGAGGTCCTAAAAAGTCTAATTCACTAGCACTACCATTCCTACGACCTAGAATTTACAATATGATCAAATAAATAATAATGAAGCACAGGACCATTAGATGTCCATTTTGCAAGACAATTCACTTGTTTTTTTATATAAATTGAACTATTTAATGAATATTATTTTGCAATTCTTGAAGCCATCGTAGGATTTATATAAGAATTTTATACTTAAAATTGAATAAATTATATAATTATATTTATATTAGTTATATTATTTTATTTCAACATATCATAACCGTTATGGGAATTCATTAAATTCCATTTTTCTTTTCCATTTATTTTTAAGAAACTAGAGAAATGGAAAAGGAATTTTGAGAGAAATGTGAGGAGCAAGAAAAGAGAATTTAGGTTTTTAAGGTATTAGAGTGGTTTTCGTCAGTTTGTCATGTTGGAAAAATTTATCTTCTCATTGTATGGAACCATTATGCTATTTTTTATTCTAAAATTTGATGTATTTTTTTATTAAATTTGTAATTTTGTTACAAAAAAGTGTATAATTTTGTATTGGTAAAACTTCACCACATAACTTTTAATATGTGATAAATATTGTCAATATGACAATTTTGATCAAAGCATATTGAATTTTCACATGTTAAATTGGAAGTTATGAATTTTTAAGTAAATGTGTAGTAGAGAAATATGATAGATTTTACTGCATTCTGTGAATTATTTTATTTTATACATGATAATGACAAAAAATATAGCATTTGCATTTAAGGTAGGCTAGATGGAAAGATGTTTGTTAACTTGAAAGGTGAAGACTAATACTAAATAGTTTGCAGTAAGGACTAATTAAGACTATTACCAAACTGGGTGATAATTGGGGTTGGTTGATATTAATTAATTGATAGTTGGGCCAAGATTAAGATTGATACCCAACTATACAATAATTAGGGTGGAAGGATAAAAATATCAAATTAAAGATGTTGAATTCATGATTTTATTTACATGATAGTACATTGAATTGGTTGATAGTATAATTAAAATCATACTTGCATTACTATTGATTGATACAACATAGCATAACATACTAAAATTATTTGTTGGGTGATAGTACACTTTACCATCGGTTTTAAAATTTGATAGATCTCTTTAGGCTTCAATGATCATATTAATTTTATTATTAATTTTAGAAAATTTTTTATGTATATTAAATTATGATTAATATTGACTAAAAATGAAACTTGCATATTAATTTTTTTCCTTGCATTGAAAGGAGTGATAGAGTTTTGGTTACTTGTTGGGCTCTCAAGCTCATTATATGTGGATTTTAATTATTTCAGGTCAGGGAAGGGGTCAGGATCACTAGCAGTAATAATAATAAAGATTGTCAAGTTCTTCTTTAGAATTGTTATAAATTTCCTTTTATTCTTTTGTAGCCAAGAGCTTGGAATATATTAGTGATTGTAGTGATCTTTTATCTAGTGTAAATAACATTTTAGTGAATGAGTAGTGAAAATATTTTGAGGTATATGATTGTTAGTTATTTTTTACTGATAATATAGATTTATTTTTTTGATGATTTATAGAAGTTATGGTTGATTAATTAAAATAGATAATTCTTTGAAATTTGATTCTAAGGTATGACAACTTCTCTAAAATTTTAAATCCTACATGTTATTTATTAGAGTAGGATGATCCTTTAATATTTTATATTGTATGTCTTGAAGCTTTCAATACTTTGAAATAACATCTAATTATTATAATAATTATTATTACTCCTACTTGGTTCTTACCTTTTATAGTTATATGTGATGCAAGCAATTTTTTTACTAGTTCTATTCTTTGTCAAAAGCAAGATTGAAATTTCCATGTCATATTTTATACTAGTTGAATTTTAAATTCTACATAGAATAATTCTACTACCACTAAAAAATAATTGTTAGCAATTCATTTTTCTTTTAACAAATTTAGATCTTTTTTTATTAACACCAAAGTAATTATCTATACTCATCACTCTTCAATCAAATATCTTAAGACAAAGAAAGATACAAAACTTAGATTAGTGAGGTGAATTCTTTAATTAAAAGAATTACATATATAAATTTTGGATAGAAAAGGAACTTAAAATCAAATTATTGATCATCTTCTTAGACTTTTAAATAAAGAACAAGCATCTAAGGAGCTTTAAATTAATGAATTTTTTTCCCGAAGAATAAATATTTTTTTTTGCTGATGATATTCTTCTTGTTGATATGACTAGAGAGGGAGTTAAAGGTAAACTTGAATTATGGAGGTCAACCATAGAGTCTAAAATTTTTTCACTTGAGTAGATCTAAAATAGAATATATAGATTGTAATTTTAGTTATAATAAACCTAGTGAGAGGATTATGAATTTGGGTGAACAAGTCAGTAATAAGAGTTACAGGTTTTAGATATCTTGATATATTGTTCAGAGTGATGGTGAAATAGATAGGGATGTTATCAACATAATTCAAG